GGTAACGTGAATAAAACATAGTCGTGTTTTGGGGACAGCCAAGCTCACCATATGGGGGAGAGACTATGTGGTAGGCAATATTTCAGAACATATAATATGACTTAGCTGGCATACAACATATAAAGTATAATCATACAACCTATATAATTACATCATGCTATTACTATTTTTTTAACATCTTTATTGGGGTATAATTGCTTTACAATGGTGTGTTAGTTTCTGCTTTATAACAAAGTGAATCAGTTATACATATACATATGTTCCCATATCTCTTCCCTCTTGCATCTCCCTCCCTCCCACCCTCCCTATCCCACCCCTCCAGGCAGTCACAAAGCACCGAGCTGATCTCCCTGTGCTATGTGGCTGCTTCCCACTAGCTATCTACCTTACGTTTGGTAGTGTATATATGTCCATGCCTCTCTCTCGCTTTGTCACAGATGCTATTACTATTATAGTATGTAATATTATACAGTGTATAATACTTTATGTTTTATTACAACTTAAATAATATAGTATATAATACCGTATAGTATAACAAGGTATAGTATAGTATATACGCTTAATAGTAAATAAATTTACTATATCTAGGGAACAGACAGTACTCTGGGGTCATAGCTGGCTGGCAGCTGTGTGCACGTGAGGCCCATGACAAAGCAGAACTGTGAACTTGGGAAGTTTGCCAGTAGCTGTACACCATTCTTTGACCCTACTGTTCGCTTTCGTTTCCCAGTGCTGCCAAAATAAATCACCATAAACTGGGTGGCTTATAACAACAAAAATGTATTCTCACAGTTCTGGAGGCTGGAAGTTTGAAATCAAGTTATCATGAGGGCCATGCTCTCTCTGAAATCTCTAGAGAAGACCCTTTCTTTGTCTCCTCTAGCCTCTGGGGTCTGCTGGCCATCCTTAGTGTTCCCGGGTTTGCAGACAGATCACTCCAATCTCTCTTCATATGACCTTCTCCTTTATGTCTGTGTCCAAACTTCCTTCTCCTTATAAGGACACCAGTTGTGTTTAGGGCCCACCCAAATCCAGCGTGACCTTATCTTTACTTGCTTTCATCTGTGAAGATTCTGTCTCCAAATAAGGTCACGCACACAGGTTCTGTGTGGACATGAATTTGGGGGGAACATTATTCAACCCAGTACACCATGTTTTTGCCTGTCCCCAGCCCACATTGCTCAGAGCCTCTTTGGACCACAGCCCATCTGGATTTTCCCTCATACTTTTCAGGGCCTGGGGTCCCATTGAGCCCCACCAAGTTCTTGGTTAATGTTTTAAGTGGTTGCCACAAACTCACCACATTTAACCCATGAGTTTAGCAAATGGTTTCCATGGGCAACTGGTGAGTTGTGAAGGAAGAAAAGAGGAGACTAAACAACTCCATAGTAAAAAAAAAAAAAAACACCCTAATAACCCAATTGAAAAATGGCTAAGGACTTGCATAGATGTTTCTCCAAAGAAGACATACAAATGGCCAACAGGTATATGAAAAAATTCTCAATGTCACTAATCATGAGAGAAATGCAAATCAAAACCATGATGAGATCTCACCTCCCCCCTGTCAAGGTAGCCCTTCTGGAAAAAACAAATGAGAACAAGTCTTGGTGAGGATATGGAGAAATTAGAACCCTTGCACACTGCTGGTGAAAATGCAAAGTGGTGCATCCACTATGGAAAACAGTATGGAGGGTCCTCAAAAAATAAAAAATAGAGCTACCATATGATCCAGCAATCCAACTTCCGGGTGGTTAGCTAAAATAATTGAAATTGGAATCTGGAAGAGATCTTAACACCCTTGTGTTCATTGTAGCACTATTTAAATAGCCAAGATATGAAAACAGCCTGAATGTCCACTGACAGATGAATGGATAAAGAAACTGTGGTATACACACACAGTGGAATATTATGCAGCCTTAAAAAAGAAAGGAATTCTAAAATATGCAACAACATGGGTGAATCTCGAGGACATTATGGTGAATGAATTAAGTCGATCACAGAAAGACAAATACTGCATGATTCCAGTTATATAAAGTAACTAAAATAGCCAAAGTCATAGAATCAAAGAGTGGAAAGGTGGTTGCCAGGGGCAAGGGGAGGGGGGAGTGGGGAGTTACTAGTAACGGGAATACAGTTTCATTTGAGCAAAGTGAGGAAACTCTAGAGAGCCGCTTACAGCACTGGACCTACAGTCAACAATACTGCATTGTGCACCGAAACATTTTTTAAGAGGGTAGATCTCATGTTAAGTGTTCCTAGCACAAGAAAAGGGAAGGGAAGGGGAAGCTTCAAGAGAGATGCAAAGACAGCAAGGGTGTAAATCATAAAATCCTCGCATACTATTTCTCTTGGTCTTTCGGCAATTTTTGTCTACTAGGTCTAGAATTATAATATAAGACAATAGTGGAAATGTGGAGCTGTGACAACCACCAGCCTGTACACCCCTGCAGAGCTGTGGCACATGGACTGAAGGCTGGGATGCATCACGCACATCCAGCACCCACACCTCCTGCTCTGTGACCTTGGGTGAACGTGCTACCCGTCTGGGCTGGGCCCTCAGGGTGGAGTCTGCGCATGGCAGTTAAGAGCTCAGGATCTGGAGCCAGATCGCCTGGGTTCATTCCAGGGACCCTCAGACCAGTGATTTCCCCTCTCTGTAATTTCCACTCAGCTTCCACATCTGTAAAATGGTGACACTATCTCACTACACAGGTTTCACATGAGCAATAAACGCGTTAATAATATACGTAAAGCACTTCGAACAGTGCCTGACTGTACAGACATTCGTTGGTATCATTAACATTATTATATGAATTTTTGGTCCAGCTAATAAGAATTCCAATAATTCAATAGTACCTCCTTCAATCCCCTTATGACCACCTCCACCCCCAAAACAGATGGGAATGTGTGGACCGTGGCTTTTGTTTTTTGTTTTTTAATTTCTCCACTTGTCACTTACACCATAACCAGCCCTGGGGAAAAGTTCCTTTGTCAGGATGTCTTAAAGGACCAGGAACCTGTCAGATGAGTGCTTCTTGGGAAAGAAAGTCTTAGGGAACTGATGTCATCAACTCAAGTTCTGCAACGAGCTATTATTAAATTCATAGTCGCCTGTCTGAGTGTGGCTTTATCAGTAACTTTAGCCCTGTGGGCAGGGGTGGCGCCCGCCCTGTTGCCCTCCACCTTTCTGATTTTCTATAACCTAGCCGTGGTGTCTGAAACAATCAGGGTGGGTCTGTCTCCAGCACTAAGGAAAGTGAGAACTGGATCAGGATGGGGCTCTGGGTGGAGTTAAGAGAGAGGTAAAATAACTGTAATTTCATAGCAATTGCCTGCAAGCAATACCGTCAAAGGTGCCAGTTTTCCATTATAAACCTGAGCCTCTGCTGGGAGCGATGGGCCAGGTAGAAATAAGGACACAAACCTGCCTTCCCACCCGAACCCCACAGCAAACAAACCTTGAGGGGAAAAATAATGTGATGAGCTTGGAGGGTAGCTTTTTTCTCCTTCTCTTTCAGAAAAAGAAAATCTTAGTAAGCCCCCATTCCAGGATGTTGGTTGGATTGCTGGCAGCTTTGCAAACAACGCTGGGGGGCCTTCCCTCTTTGAACCCTCCCTGTTAGTGGAGCCTGGTCCTGATGCCACCACGATTTCCAGGGGAGCCAACAGCAAACTAGAATGAATGGGTGATTTCTCCCTCCAAGTACCATTTTGGGGCCAATAAACCACTCAACCACTCACTGGAAAAAAAAATTACACAGAGATCAGTTCCCCAAACTTTTTGTTCGTATGTTTCTGAAAGTGTATTCTTTATCAAATTCACATCTCTGCAGCCTACTCAGAGGTAAAGATAGACCTGCCTTTAAGACAAAAAAAAAAAAAATCTGCTGTTTTGAGGAGGGTACTGAGAAGGGGAAATGTGGAGAGCAGAAGTGTGCAGGTCCTCAATAATGCTGTCTGTCATGCTTTCCTATGTGCTCCCATCTCATCCCCCAGCCCACCCCACAGGAGGCCATAAGCTTCTGAGTAAATGCAGTTTTGAATCCCCTGTGTAATTTCTTCCAGTGCCTTGTACATGGTCAATACGTATTCGTTGAGCAAAAGGATAATTTAACAAATGAATGGTTTATTGACACTAGGTCAAGTAGTAGTCAGAACCTAGTGGGACATTGAGTAACGTCTCGAGCCTGCTGACAAGATAGAAAGACATAGGGTCAAAATCTGAGGGTCTGTACTCACGACGTCTTCATGGAGTAAGGACCAGAGGGTAGAAGATAAACGACAGAGGAACATACTTTGGTGAGGTATAACCAAAGAAAAGCATTTCTTTGGTTAGAACTGGTTTAGAGCTATCCTCAGAATGGACTGGTTTGAGAGATATACATTGCCGGTGAGTGGAGGTATTCAAGCATAGACAAGGTGATTACTCAAGAGTATAGAAGTTGGTCCGACATCATTTGTGTTAGACTATGTGATACTGAAGGTCTCTTTTTTTTTTTTTTGCGGTACGCGGGCCTCTCACTGCTGTGGCCTCTCCCGTTGCGGAGCACAGGCTCCAGACGCGCAGGCTCAGCGGCCATGGCTCACGGGCCCAGCCGCTCCGCGGCATGTGGGACCCTCCCGGACCGGGGCACGAACCCGTGTCCCCTGCATCGGCAGGCGGACTCTCAACCACTGCGCCACCAGGGGAGCCCTGAAGGTCTCTTTTTACCCTGAGATGCAAGGGTTCAATGGTTTCAGAAAGTTATGACTCTCCATAATCACCATGCTGGAAACTCACATTCAGTTCTGCACGTGTTTATCGAGCCCTTACCCTGTGCCAGGTGTCACCTTGCATAAACATTAGGAAGACAAGGATAAATCTTAGAGGGCAACTTTAAAGTAAGGCTGGGGCATGGACTTTCGGTTCTGCCCAGACTGGTGTCTGGCTGTTACAGTCCTATATTCCTTCTTGCTGATGTGCACAAGCTAACTCAGGACTCTGGTGCTCTTCTTTCTAGGCTGGAATCGATGGGGAAAGCATTGGCAACTGTCCCTTCTCTCAGCGCCTCTTTATGATCCTCTGGCTGAAAGGAGTTGTGTTCAATGTCACCACTGTGGATCTGAAAAGGTAAAGGATGATACATTCATGAGCAATATGTTTCTCTGCAGGAAGAGAGACTCTTCCACGAGGGAGGGCGAAAACCTCGAGGCTCCCAGCAACCTCCTGCTCACACCTTGCTGGCCAGAGCCCTAGAGCCCTAGTTACAAGGGAGGCTGCAAAAGCGAGCAACACCCTTGGAACAGAGCAAGTCCCGATTAGCAAGGAAGAAGGAGGGAATGGACAATGGGTATCTCGACTGAGAGTGTCTGGCACAGAGATGGGCGCAGCATCTAAAAATCTGGGAGGGAGCCATTCTGGTCCTACTAATGCCCCCAACCTAGGGGACCCCAGCCAGACTTCAGGTGTGAGAGGTTGAGTTTCCAAGGAGCTGGGATCCAGACTATTTCTCCCACTATGTTCCCATCTTTAGAACTCCTTAGTGTGAGAGCTCTGGATTAGAGACTGGGATGGAGAGTTACTAGTGTTCTGCTTTTAAAGTGCAGTTTTAATAGCTGTTGAAAATACGGGCATTGTTCACCATCACAAGCCACACTGTTTCCATCTTTCTTCTCTTTCCTCTCCTCCGCCTGTCCTTTAAATGCGGACTGGCTCAGGCTCCCTCCCTGGGTCTTTATCACCTGCCACAGCTTTCCCCCAGTGAGCTTAGCATACTCTCCCTGTCACCTTTATGTCAATTATTCCATACCCAGAGCCCTGCTCTCTTCTAGATATTTCCACTTGGATTTTCTGTTATCACTTTGAAATCAGTGTGTCAAAAATTGTACCTTCATTCTCCCTTTGAATTGGGGTCCCCTCCTGAATTCCTTTGTTCTTCCATTTTTCTAGGCACTGAAACGTTTCCAGCTCCCTTCTCTTGCCACCCCCATTGTCCATCAGTCGCCAAGCCCAGGGCATTCTCTCACCGCGCTGTCTCTTACTTCCAGGCTCTCTTGTCCATTCCCAAAGCCCACACATGGTGTGGGTCCCACCACTGGCAGCTGGACTGTTTCTCTGTTCTTCAAACTGGTCTTCATCCTTCTGGTTTCTCTCTGTCTCTCTCTGATCCATCCTTTATATTATCATAAGGATAGTCTTCCTAAAATAATCCTTTCATCATGTGGCTCTCCCTACTCAGAAAACCTCCTGACATTTCCCATTGCCTGCAGCATAAATGCATCTGCAGCCCTCCTTTGTCTTTGCCTTGGTTCTTCCCAACATTATCTCCCAGGACCTACCTGCCTCTGGCGGGCTGGACCACCTTCTGCTGCCCTTGTCCCTCTGGCCTCCAGCCGTTGCCTGGGATGCTTGCTCTGTCTCACAGAGGCTCTCTGTTTTTCCTGAATGGAGAGATGGTGCCCAGTCCCCAGAAGCAACCCGCTCCCCTGGGAAGCTTCCCCCTCCCACCCTACCACTCTCAGGCAAATCTATCACTCAGCCTCCCTCCAGACTCACCCAGCATCTATGGTCCATTTTGCATCTCACCAATTTACGATATCTACAATCCCGATGCTTTACAACTAGTGCATGCTTTCCCATAAAAAAATCACATAAAGTGTAACCCTGTGAAGGAGATCTTATTTCTTCGTTCTATAGGAGGAAACCAAGACAGACACATTTAAATGACTTGTCCAAGTTGCCCACCTGGAATCGGAGGGGCTGCCACTAAAATCCCAATCTTCTTGGTTCAAATGGCACGTTCTTCAGGACACATCAGTTATGAAGTTTGTCTTGTCATTCGCATCAGACCTTCAGTTCCTCAAGGGCAAGTCGAGACCATGTTTTAAGTTTCTTTGTATCTGCCACAGCAGCCAATGCATCCGTTCGGGGCCCTGACTAATTTCTGTTAAATGAATGAAAACACACACGAAATGCAGACATTGTCTGTGACAACTACAGAGAGCAGACTTTCCTGCAGTTGGAAAGATTGGCTTCCTTCAGTGGAGAATAGGAGGCCTTTGGAGTATCATCTGTGAAAGTAGACTCGTATTTGTCTGGGGATCAGAATGGGAGAGGGAACCATCCCAGCATTCCTTAGATCCTTACAAGGCTCTTTCCTAGCTGTCATCACATCCGATCCTGCCAACACCCTTTGAGGTGGGCCAGGCAGGTATCACGACTCCAGTTTTATAGATAAGGAGAATTGCTTACTGGAAAAAAAAATTATATATATATATATATGTGTGTATATGAATTAAGGAATTTAAAAAATGTATGATACAGTGAAGTTTAGCAATTCCTAATAAAACGAATTTCTTATCCTGGCACCACCATGTATTGGTGGAGTGACCTTGAATCTTCTCTTTTCTGAGCCCGTTGCCTTACCTGTACAATGGGGATAAAAGTTATGCCTTGTTTCTAGAGTTATTGTGAGGATCTGATGAGGCAGGCCATGGACCACTTGCATGGTGTAGGGCTGGCTTCTAGCAAGAACACCGCACATGCTGGCTCTTCTTAGCATCATCCTGCCCTCAGGGAGCTGGCAATCCAGGCAGGGAAGGAGAACTGATATACATTAAATAATCTGTAAGTTAGACTTGGCAATATGTAATTAAGTTCTAATTACATAATTTCATAACTACTGAAGAGGGTCAACAAAGAGAGGGGGCCACCCCTGACCAGTGTCCACTGGCAACGTCAGCTGAGCTCCAGCGGTCAGGGCAGTACTTCCCAAGGATGCCAGACTCCAGAGCCCATTGTTCTCTTGAGTCCTAGAAAAAGAAAATCATCCTTCATAATTTCTGGATCTTTAAGCCACAGAGAAGTCATTGCTGAAAAATAAAATCAGTATAGATTTTCGCTCCCTGCTGAGAACCCAAGCATTGCTGCCTTAGATGAGCTTTCAAAAACAGGAGGAGAAGGTAAAGAATGTGTGAAAGGAAGAACACTCACAAAGCAAACACAGGGACCAAGGAAATTCGACTTTAGAAATGCTTTTCTCAGCGTCAGTTGTCTGAGGAGTTCCAAGTGCCACAGAAGGCAGCTGGAGAGTGTGCGTGTTGGGCAAGGATGTGGGAGGGGCACCTTAATTGAAATTCTTCTCTTCCCCTCCCAAGCTGATTACGCCAGGAATGTGTTTCATTACAGACTCCTCTTCCCTGTTGTTTACTCCTTTTGGGTTCCTCCATCTAATGTTTTCCACGCTTGCCTCCCACAGAAGTGTGGCATTCTCAGAGAGAGCGTTTGGGGTGACTGATGGTCCAGCCCTGCCCGGGGAAGTTTCCATCATTATTTCTCCTTTTCCTCCCTCTGTCCTCTGTGCAGCTTTCTCCCTGCCCACTTCCCTCCATCCGTCCGCCCGCCCTTCTTCCCCTCGCTTTGCTCCATCTCTGCACCTCCATTCTGACCGGCTGTGGGGAGCCCAGAAGCTCAGCCTTGGACGTGAATAGGGGCCCATGGCAGACACAAGGTCACTCCCTTCCCATTGCGCAAACCTTAAAGAACAGAGAAGATCGTTCTTTGTGTAAAAGCGTGACTGAATTCATGAATGTTTAAAGTTTGAGATTCTGCCTCGTGCACTTTTGTAAAGCTGATGGGTGAAGGACCTTTTGAAAGCAAAGCCCAACTTCCTCCCTGGGTATCAGAAGCTTGGCTTTAGCTTAGATATTCACCTGTGATCACGCTGCTTTTTCAAAGTCCATCCGACTTGCTCCTCTCTCACTGAATCCCACCGATCGGATATCCTGTGTCACACCACATCCTTCCAGAATCTCTCCGACCTCCTCTGCCCTACGCCTCACACCGGGTCTGTTTTTGCCGACGGGCGTCTAATGGACAGTACGCCCTGGGCTTCCCTGTCCGTGAAGCACCCTGGTGTAAGCCACCCCTGAACCTTGCTCTCTCCACAGAAAGCCAGCCGACCTGCACAACCTCGCCCCTGGCACCCATCCGCCCTTCCTGACCTTCAACGGAGACGTGAAGACGGACGTCAATAAGATCGAAGAGTTCCTGGAGGAGACTTTGACCCCCGAAAAGTAATGAGCTGCTTGTTTCTGGAGCTAATGACAGGGAGGGGGTCCTTGTGCTTTTCTAGATCCTGAGGGAGATTTCCAAAGGAGCCTCATCAATCCAGAGCCCAGGACCCTCTTTGCAAAGAGAGAGTCCCGCATGGCCCTCCCCACCCTCAAAGGGATGCCAGTCTCAAACCTGCTCCACAAAGTCCAACCCCAAGAGTTGATGCCCCTTAACGCCAGGTCCCTCGGCCTGAGTGAAGGCCAAGGCTCCCTCATTGCAGAACAAGAGCTGAAAGGCCGACGAAGTGAAAAGTCAGCCAGGAGAGAGGTAATCCCATGACTTAAAACCACACCAAGGTATGAACAAGAGTCATAAATCTGACCCTGTCAGGTCGGACGGAGCCCATAATTAAACATGAAAAACACGGGCTGAAGGCAGTTCCCCTTCTGAAAACAAGCTCAGGGGGAGGAGGGACCAGAGGGCTGTGGGTTCTTGGCCGGTAGATAAGCTGCTCCTGTTGGGAAAAAGGAGTGAACAGAAGAGAGGAGAATTCTAAAAGCTGCTGGAAGCTAGACTTGTTCATTGTACTCTACTGAAATCAGGGATTCAAACAATCGCCTTTAAAAAAAAAACTGGAACAATAATATTACATATAGAGTAAGGTGTGCACAGACTTTATCCTGTGGCATAGTCACTGAAAAGCTTTAAGCAAAAGTGTTGGAGAATCCGTTTTCAGGCTTACTTTGGGGGATGGGGGTAGATGGGGAGGGCAGAGGAGGAAAAGCTCCTAGAAATCAACTAGGAGGGAGCCAACTGGTGACATTCCGTGTAAGATAGACTGGAGGGCTGGGCTAAGGCAGTGACAGGGAAATGGGGGGAGAGGGGTAGGAAGGATTTTAGGACATACTTAGTAGGTAAAATAAGTGGGATTGACTATAAAAATGACCGTCTTGCATTTATTTTAAAGTTTTATTTTTTAATTGATATTTATATAGCCCTCACTTAGTGGGCCCTTAAAGGTAGGTGCTATCATTATCCTAATTTGATAGCCGGGGAAACAGGATCAGAGAGGTTAAGTAACTTGCCCAAGGTCACACATCTAGCAGATCACTGTTAAATCAGAACTCCCAGTCGTGATCTAATTAAGCCTCAACCATTTACACATTCTTCCTAAAAATGTATTCTCAGCCATCCACATTAGGACAGTTTATCTCCATACTGAGTGTGGGAAATTGCCTCAAGTCCAATAAATGCATTGATTAAATCAGCTGGGCAGCCCCACCCGTAATACCAGGCCAGCCCCTTTGCTGAAAAGGCCTCCAGGGGGCTCAGCCTCCTTCTTCCTCCCTTGGGACTCAACCTCATTGCTGGCTCTGGTTTGGAATCCAACAACAGAAAATGAATGCTGTTTTCAATAACTAAATAGGGTTTGGACTTTGTCTGGGAGATCCAGAGGGGAAAGTCCACGATGAAGTTAACATTTTCCCTTCTAGAAGTAATACCCGCACGCAGGAGTCCTTGCTTCCATCAAGGCCAGGGAATGGGAATGGGAAACTGAAACAATGCGGAGGATGGATAGCCAGCCTCGTGGGTGGAGGCATGCAGGGTTGGGCTGGGCTGGGCCTGGAGGCCTGGGTCCACTCCTGGATCTGCCAGTGATGCACTGTGACCCCTCGAACCAGTCTCTTTCTTGCTCTCGGCCTCCATTCCCTCCCCTGTGAAAGGATGACCCTTCATGCCCATCTTAGCCAGGCTTCCTCAGTCCCCGTTCAGCGGTGCCTTTGGGGGGCTGTTTCTCTAACTCAGGGGTCTCTAATCTACATCCCCAACAGGACCAAGGGGACCCATGAGGATCCCCCCCCCGGAATTGTATGCCCACGTGTACAGGTAGATTCTTCCAGACAAGGGCCGTGATCAGATTCATCACCATATCATCCGATTCTGGAAAATTTCCATGATCCCAATCAGGCTAAGCTATGCAGGACATAGACGCCGCCTCTTCACTTCTCTCTCCACCTGTCCTGAGCTCTGCTTCATCTGGTCCAGGTCCCTCTGGACTGCAATGTGTGTAGGAGGTTTTACTAAGTACGTTCCTGACGTGTCAGTGACCCTACGGTCCACCACGCCACAGTAGCAGAACCTCAAAACTCTGAAAATGCACAACTCCAGAAGGGCACCAAGGTGGGACCCTAGTGGTGAGACCATCAACCATTTCAGAGCCCCCAGAAGTGTCCTTTAGATGCCTTTGTATGGATCAGACTGGGGTAGGTGCCATAATTACCTCCCAGGAAACGTCAGCAAACCTGTGCTTCAGCCCTGCAAAGGGAGACCGGCTGTTCTGCCCACAGCAAAGCCACCCACCTCGGCTGGCTTCCCACCAACTCTAGCTGGGAGGTCGGTCAGGTGGCCCATGTCCAGAGGCCCCAGGAGGAGGGCAGCCTGGCCTTCTGGTTCTCTAGGGGGCAGCAAAACCCCCGTTTCTGTTCCACAAACGCTGGTCAGCATGTGTTTCTCATCACACTGCTGTTTGTAAAAGCTGCCAGAGAGCCAAGAAATTGTGGGAGCCTTTTTCCCCTTAGCTCTATTTTTTAAAGGAAAAAACCCACACACAAACACTCCAGCAATCTTTTTCAAAGATCACATTGGGTTCCCAAAGCATTTGGTGTCAAAGTGAGGAATCTAGGAAGTCTCAAGAAGTTTCCAAATGAGACGAACTTCCATCCTTCTCCTTAGACTGACCCAGTTAATGCTGCACAGGGAAGCGTCGGGATTATTGTTGACATGCTGCCTTTACCTTTCATCCTCATCCTCGTGGAATGGCCCGAGTTAATGGGATCCAGAAGTGAGAGTCAGGAGACCAAAGTCCGGCCACCTTTCTACACAGCGCCTGTTGTATGAACTTGGCCAAGCCTCGTGCCCTCTCAGACCCTCCCCATTCCCTCATCTCCGAAACTACATAGTCTCTAAGATGCCTTTCAGCAGAAGTTCTATGATTCCACGAATTTTTCAAAGTGCTTTCCCAGAGCTGGTTGCGGTTTGAAATAAACAGTGGTAAAAATTCAGGGGAGTGAACGGGTGAAGTCTAGTTACATGTCTTGTCATTTAGTCAGTCAACTATCACGCAAGTATTAACAGTGTTCAGAGCCATACCAGAATTGGAAGACACTTTGAATTCATTATTTTAAGAAATGTTTATGGATATTTCATGATAGTAAAAATCACGAAGTTTCTTCTGATCCTCTGGGAGGTGGAGAAGCAGCCTCAGTACCAGGCACAGGATGGCATAGTGGCTGAAAGTACAGTAAGTCCCCTACATATGGACGAGTTCTGTTCTGAGAGTGTGTTCGTAAGTCCAATTGGTTCATCAAGTCCAACATAGTTAGCCTAGGTACCCAACTAACACAGTCGGCTATATAGTACTGTTCTGTAATAGGTTTATAACACTTTTCACACAAATAATACATAAAAAAACAAACAAACACAAAAAATAAAGGAAACATTTTTAATCTTACAGCACAGTACCTTGGAAAGTGCAGTAGTGCAGCACAACAGCTTGTGCTTCTTAGCGGTACCAGCTACATCACCGCTGCTTTTACGCTTGCTTCTGGACATCCGGGGCTTGCAATAAAGATACTGTACTACCGTACTCTATACAATACTACACAGTAAAGTATAGTAAAGTACACAAAAAGCACAACCACTTGTAGAGGATGCATGCACGTGACAGTGTACGCCAGACACGTGAACTAGCTTACGTGATTACAGACACGTTTGCATCTTTGAAAGTTTGCAGCTTGAAGGTTCGTATGTAGGGGGCTTACTGTATGGGCTTTGGAGTCAGAATGCCTTGGGTTCTAATCTGAACCACCAGGCTGTGCTACGCCGAAGTAACTAATTGACCACAAAATCTCAGTAGCTTAACAGAATACAGGTTTATTTCTCACTCGTGCAGAGTCTGAGTGGGTAGTGTGGCCCTCTTCTATTTTGTAGCTGTTGAAATACATTTCTTCCGAGACTCCTTCAGCAGGGAAAGAGGGAGGAGAAGGATGATGCAAAATATTTTTAAAGCCCAGGGTTATGAGTGGTTACCTCACTGCTCCTCCCATACTATTGGTCAGGATCCAGTCACGTGACCCCAACCTATCTGAGAGGGAGGGGCAGGGAAACGCAGAGAGGCACATGGGCATTTAATGAGCATGTGTGACCTCTGCTGCAGATAAATTACTCCTTCCCTCTCTGATCATCAGTTCTCACATCTGTAAACTGATGACGCCATGTTGCTCTCGAGGGACTATTATTGAAGATGATACTGCTTAACCTAGCGGCTGACGTAGAGTCAGAGCTCCTTATATGGCAGCTTGAAGAGCTAGAGAGGTCGGTGCCTCTTTTGTGACCGTCTCCCAGTAATCATAAAAACTACTGGTGAGCTTAGGTCTTAAATCCACAGTTCCCAGGGGTTGTCTTTTTACGAATAAGCCAGACCCCATCCACCTCCAGGGATCATTTGTTTAAGTAGCAGGGATAAGACAAGGCAAGCTCACAGTTCTGGAGCAGAAAAGTCAGAAGCATTAATCTGCTTCTCCAGTGAGGGTTTGGTGAGGTGAGGAAGCAGGAATAACAGAGAAGGGAGAGAGGGGACATCCTTCCACTTTTCAGCTTATTTGAAAACGGAGGGTCAACACTCAGGCTGCCAGAAGAGCCCCTGGAATCAGCAGAGGTCACCCCATGAGGGCGAGATGACTGTTTCTCTTTTTCTCCAGTGTATCCCCAATGCCAGGGACAGGGCTTGGCCCCTGGTAGGTGCTTACTGTATGTTGGTTTAGTTGCATGGAGTCCTTTTGTTCGGGGGCGTGGTGGCCTATGGTTAGTCAGTGAGACGTCTTTTGGGGACTCTAAGCCAATCAGAGCATTTCCATCTGCCATCATATCTTATTTTTTTTTGCTACTATTTACAAAAAAAAATTGTTTTGATGAGTGGCCAACTGTTTTACTTCCCAGAATGAAGCTTAAGTGCGTATCTAAAATGAATGCATTTGAAATAAGATATCTTAAAAACAGAGTGGGGAGAAATTTTCATTATTGAGAGCAGGGGTTGGCCAACTTTCCTGGAAAGAGCCAGGGAGCATTTTTGACTTTGCGGCCATATAGTCTTAGTAGAGTAAAAGCAGCCATAGACAGTATGTAAGTAAATGGATGTGGCTGTGTTCTACTTGTGAATGCTGAAACTTGAATTTCATATTATTTTCACATGTCACAAAATAATATACTTCTTTTGATTTTTTTTCAATTATTTAAAAGTATACAAAGTATTCTTAGCTCATGGGAGGTACATAAACAAATGTTGAGCTGGATTTGGCCCATAGGCCATCATTTGCTCACCCTTGAGTTAGAGAAATTGCCCATCTCTTTGATTGTCACCAGATGACATCACAATCTTATTTCAAAGATGTTTCTATAAATGAAGTACTATTTGTTAGCCTTTTAGAGAAACAAAATGTACCCTGGAACCCACTTATTTGCATATTTAAAATGCAGTGTAAATATGGAGCTAAAATAAAAGCACTTAACATCCTGTACAGTAGCTGCCCCAAATCTAGTTACCAAACTCTGTAAGGTTAATATTTGAAGACACACTTCCCACAAGGACAGTCTTCAAGTGGGACATTATGCTGTAAAGTCAAATCTCGATGAATCATAGTGCTTAGAAAACAGGACGGCACTCGTATGGTCTCCCTGAACACATGGCCCTTTTTTTTGCCTGTCTTGGATTTGCTGCCACCCAATCATGTTTCGCCCACACTGGCCCTGAAGAAATGGTCGGATTAGTGGAAGTCTGATCAAATGATGGCATAAATAAAAAAAAACCCAAAGGAAAAATGCATTACCTAGGCCCTTCTCTCTTTACATTATTGCCTTATCAAGCAAAAACAAGGAGCACTTGGTATATATTAAAATAATTTAAGACATTCCATTTTAAAAGCATGCCTAATTCTATGTGAGAAAGCCAAAATAGGGATGGATGATCCTAAATTCCCTTGTCTTGGAAGATTAACCCAGCATCCTGCAAGAACAATTGCTTTGTACCCCAAGTCAGAGCAGATGAATTGATGATTCTCAGAGTATTCAGGAAAATATGTGTGCAGAACCTGTGCAAAGCGCCCCCTCCTGGTGGTTGAGGGGAGTTCCTCCATGGTGCTCAGCCCAGCTCCAGGGGGTGTTTCGAGAGCTTGGAGGGTAAACAGCAGAGTCGGTGAGAGGCCACAAGACATGGAACTTAAGATCTGGGCTTCCAGAGTGAAACTGCCTGGGTTGGGCTCCTGGGTCTGCCACCTGGCCACGTGAACTTAGACGAATTGCTTAGCTTCTCTGTGTCTCGTTCGTCTTCTGTGGGAAATGAGGCTAATGACAATACCAATGAAATTGTGAGGAGTAAATGATGAAACTGCGAAGGGGTTCGAACAGTGTCTGGCACGTAGTGGACACAGTACAAGTTACCTCTTGCTGATATTGGAGAAGTGATGTGATGCAGTGGGAGGGTCACTGCTTCAGCGCCCAAAAACTGGGTTCTCAGGGTCCCTCCACTATTTATTCCCCATGAGCCCTCAAATAGCCATTTAACGTCTCTGGTCTCTGGTTGCTTCCCCATAAAATGAGGACGATAATGCCTCTGTATCTGACTCTTGGCAGAGGGCTGGACCCAGTGATTTTCTGTGGACTCGTCCAATGGCAGTACCTGAAATTTGACAGCCACCTAATGTGGCCCAGGAGTGGTTGGTCCTAGCTAGTGGTCAGTGGAGAAGCCAAAAAATGAAAGAACACAAAGACTTGTTACAGGCATTTTGGTTCAAGTTATTTAAAACATTAAACCAAAAAAAAAAGATTTTGCATTTTAAACATAAAGTAGCCAAATAGTTCTCAGTCCACACTATTCACCCAGAGATCACAAAGGTCCACATACTTGGTGATAATGATGACCAAGCAATTGTCCCCCGTCTCCTCCCACCCTTGCCTGGCCATCCATGTAAAATGTTTGTGAAATAATATTTTTTGAAAATTAGAATGGCTTGTTTTGATGGTGCCAGTGGGGTCAAAGCAAGCTTGCCTCATTTGGTCTCAAGGCCAGTAGGAGAGAGCCCTAACCCCAGTTTGCCTCTTATACTCTTCTGGCTTCAAAATGGAAGAATGCATGAGGGAGAGGCGCTGGGTCATTGCAAATATATCTCCATGCCTGGAAATAAAACAATTGTAAATGCTTGTCCCACTGACGTAGCCTGGTAGTTTCTGCATCTGATTCCTGCACACAAATAAGAATATTTCAGAAGAGGACCATTCCTTTCAAGAGATGATTTCGAGGCCTCAGTGCCGAGGTGCCTAGCACTTCCTTGCTCCTAGAATTAGCTCCATGCAGCTAGGATTATAATCGCAGGCCTGGCAGTGGGTAGTTATTTTAACACGGGTTGGGGAAAAGTCTGGGACCCCACCTGATGCAGAGGAGAACTCACTGAGAATTTTGACTAAGACCTGGGCATTGCCGCATCATTGTTGGTGGTCCCAGGAAGAGAATACACCCTGGACCCTCTGAGTGGTGCTCTGCTTTTTTGCCCACAGGCTGCGTTCCTGGGCAGTTCTCCACACCTCACTGGACTCTAGTTCCCTCTATCATTAGAGATGCAAGTGCCCACCTCCCTAGAGGATGGGTTGGAAAAACACCAAAAGATTTGTAGATCCTGCTAGAAACAAGAGTGTTTCCTGCTAGAAACTCATCGTGAGGTGATGGGAAGGGGCTCTGAGTTCTCACTGACCCTAGAACACTGGTCTTGCATTCCAGGTACCCCAAACTGGCTGCGAAGCACCGGGAATCCAACACAGCGGGCATCGACATCTTCTCCAAGTTCTCCGCCTACATCAAAAACACAAAGCAGCAGAACAACGCCGGTAAGTGGTTCCCTTCTACCCAGAGCCCCTGGTGGCACTGTCCCCTGCCCAGGGCATCTTCAGACGCTCAGACCGGAGAAGCAGCTGGAATCAATGCTTTTATTCACTCGCCCTGAGGCCCCCTTGATGCAGGAGAGTGGGTGGTAGATCTTGCTTTCTGGCCAGTGCAGGAGAAATGGCCAGTGAGCCTTACTGTGGAACTGGAGGAGGGATGCAGTTTGTGTTCTGAGCCTGCCATAGTGCACATCATGATACACCGCACACAGGGTCCTGCCTCGGCCGTACTACTGTCTGTTTGTCCCCAGTTCATGACCCTGCTGCGCTCACAGGAAGTGCTGTTTGGAACAACACATTGCGGCTTCCAGGGGGTTGACCAGAGCCCATGGTGGGACAGGGCAGTCACCATGGTGGTAAATGCTCAAGGCAGAGCCCAGCCCTCTGCATTCCCCCCAACGGCAAGTGCAGAAGGTGCTGGGAAGCCTCTTCTCCAAGCCTGGCTCAGCCTCCACCCGGCCCTTAATTTCTAGCATTGGCCATAGAACTCAGACTTGGTTCTCTTCTGGTGCCTTCTCAGAGGGGTTCGAGCTCCTCATTTAAGCTGGTAGCACTTTTAGTCCCTCACTTGACTTGGTCCTTTAAGCATGAGCTGAAGCAATTTGAATAGAACTGTCACATCGAGCATGTGTAACTTTAGAACAGTGTTAGCTCCTGTGAGGAGAAGGAAGAAGGATGAGGAAGTTTGCTTGCCGTCCGAATAGGAGGATGGAGCCCAGTGCTGAGCCAGGCAGAGCAAGGGCGTCACGAAAACTTCGTGAATGAGTGAGTGAATGAATGGTGATTGGCCGGACAGCACTTCTTGAGTCTTCATGAATGAACAAGGAACTGAATGTATATCAGACGAACACGCAATGGCTCCTGAAACAAGGTGGTCCATTTGTTTGGACCACCTTGGAGCTAACTGCTGCAGGAGCTCAGAAGAGAAAGGCATCTCTTTGGACCAAAGTGACCAGGAAAGGCAGCCGGGATGAACTTTTGGCAGGAACAGTGGTGTGGTGGGAAGTAAATGATTCAGTTAACAGCCACTGTGGAGCTGGATCGTGCCATCCACAGAACTAGATTCTAGAAAAAGAACTAGAAAAAGACACGCAGTCTTCAAGGCCTCCTGACTGGTACAGAAGAAAAGGCTTAAGTTCACAAAAATAACAAGACAAGACGTAAATGGTGCCTTCATCAAAGGGAGTCTGATTATCTGCCCTATGAGAGGAGGAAAGAGTATCTGCCAAAGGGGTTCAGGAGTAGGAAGGATTCACCTTTGGGTCATCTGAGAAGATTTCCTGAAGGGGTTTCACCTGGGTGGTGAAGATCCAGGGGGAGTCAGTTGGCTGGGAACATAGGATGGAAGACGTGGGGAGGGTGAGAAAACTCCAGTGACAGAGACCAGAGAAGCATCTGGAGTCTGCAGTGCCAGCTGGGGGGACTGGATTTTATCCTGTGGGCAAGGCAGTCATTAGAGGTGCATGAAGAGGCACTGCAGCGAGAGTGGCCTTTTAGGGACAAGAAAAAGGAGAAGCATGAGGGAAACCTTTTAAATTTACTCAGCGCTTTTGCTTCATTGATGTTTGCAGCCTGTGGTGTGTCGAGTATCATCCCGCGGTCTGTATCCGCCTGGGACCTCAGAATGTGACCTTATTTGGAAATAGAGTCTTTGCAGATGTAATTAGGTAATGGTCTCGAGATGAGATGGTACTGATCTAGTGTGGTCCCTAAATCCAATGACTGGTGTCCTTAGAAGAAGAAAAGGGGACACACAGAGATGGGGGTGGGGGCATGTGAAGACAGAGCAGGGATTACAGTGCTGTAGCCACAAGCCAAGGACCACTTGGGGCCACCAGAAGCTCAAAGGGTCAAGGAAGCATCCCCCCCAGAGCCTTGGGAGGGTACGTAGCCCTGTGACATCTTGACTTGGATTTCTGGTCTCCAGAACTGGGAGAGGAGAGATTTCTGTTGTTTTAAGCCACACGGTTTGTGGTCCTTTGTGGTGGCAGCCCTAGGTGGCTAATGCAGCCCTCACAGCCATGGATCGATCGTGTGAAAGGCAACCCCCGCCCTCGCTCTGCTGCAGACACAGAAGCAATGGGACGGCAGTGGCTTGTCCTCGCCCCCAGGGCCTAAGCTGGCTCTCAATTCCAGTTTTCAGATTCCACATCCAGCGTCCTTTAAGCCGCAAATATCTTCCTTCATAGCCGTTGAAGCGCCAGCAGACAGATTGTCTTAGCCGAGCCTTCCAGACTTCTCAGGTTGTGAGTGGTATTTACATATGAGCCGTATTTACAGTTCTCCTGCCCCCAAAGCCAAAGCAACCACTGAACATCATGTATCGGTCTCTCGTAAACTGAACACTCTCCAGTTTTCATTGTTTCCGCTTCTTCTGTTTCACCCTGTTTTCCTCTGTGATGGGTTTTGCGCTTGTGACTCCTTCTCCCCTAAAACTCATTTGCACATTTCAAAGCGCCAGTGTTTCCCATGTCCCCAGTTGCCTGTCCCCCAGATCACAGTCCTCTGTGCTGTTCGCTCCTGCCTTTTAACAAGACACCAAGTTCTTCCTTCAGTGTGACTATAGCTTCCCCTCCCGCCCCCTTCACTTTTCTTCCCCAAGCCCACACCCTCAGTCACGGTCAACTGGTCAGCTGGCTCCACAAGTTCTTAGGCTCAGCCAGCCAGCACCCGGAGCTCCGCTGGGCCCGTCCGAGAGCTGGCACCACGGCCAGCTGGCACCACGGCCACGCCACCCAGCCGCTGGCCTGTGAGACCATCCGCACCCTGTCTCTGCTTTGTCCGAGCTCTGTACCCACAGGTCTCTGCAAGGGCATCAACGTCAGCCCCCAGGCTTCCCCTGACAGCCTTCTGCATCTTCAGCTCTGCGTTTGTTTATCCAACATCTTTTTCAGACTGTCCCTTTTGTGTTTTCAATTTTTTTTTTTCTCTTGAGCAGAGCCCTCCCTCCACATAATACCCCAGCACCCTCCACCCAGCCCCGAAACACACTGACTGTCTTCTTGGTCCTTTTCTGCCCTGTCAACAACAAAGCGTGAAAACACCCCACACTGTGACCTGGTTCTACATGATGGATCGATTCTCCACTCCCGTGGTGGTTACGGAAACCACCATTCAGAATCTCCCTGTTGTTCACAAATCCTCAAAAAAGACCCCAGCTACTGGAACTCAAGACCCCATCCTGGAGGAGCCATCCACAGCTAGCACGCAAGGGAGTTGTCCGTTAGTTAGTACATTCAGTCATTCATTTATTCATTCAACAAACACAGATTACACGAAGTGGATCCAAGTCTGAGCTAATGTTTAAAGGGTGCTCCTTGTGTGCCAGGCACCGGGCTGTGTTCCGGACTTGCCAAGACAAATGAGACAACACCATTGTCCTCGATAAACTAACCATCGACAGGGGCCTGTGAAACATGCAAACGTGCAGTTACTGACCTGGGTTTGAGTCCCAGATCTGCCACTTAGAGCTGTACCACTTTGCCCGAGAGACTTCTCTCTGAGCCTCCGTTTCTGCATCTGTAAAACATACTTAATAATGCTTTCAATTTCATCAATCTGACAAATAAGGCCATTAATAGCATATCCAAGGTTTGTCATGCAGAGTCATTTATTTATAAGTTAATCCTTTAGCACACTGCCTGACACGTCATAGCGCTCTTTAAATGTTAACTTTGATTATCACTAGAGTAAAAATGAGACAAACACGAATACTGGCATCGGAAACAGCTGCTTCAGCTCTTGCTTTTTGACCCCCAACCAGCACTTCCAAATCTCCCACTCATTTAGTCTCTTTTCTACTTGTTTAATTTTGGTTCCCATTTTCTTGGTGCATTTTCCTCCTCTCCAAAGTATACAGTGGCTCCCTTGGTCCATGGATGCGGAATCTGCAGATTCAGAGGGCTGACTGTCCGGTGCCACTTTATAAAAGGGACTTGAGTGTCTGTGGATTTTTGATACCCGAGGGAGTTCGTGAGTGAGAAGAGCTCTAGGGATGACACCCAAGGATCACCCACAGCTATGGGGTCAGGAGGGTCTGAGGGAGCGGAGCCAGGGAGGAAGATAAAGAAGGAGTAGCAAGTGAGGAAGGGGGCAGGGGGTTGGGGGGTCGTGAAGATGAGGAAGAAAAACTTTACAGAAAAGATTGATCTATGATATAAGACACTGCCCAGGTCATGGGAGGCTTTGCCTTTTGTGTTCAGCTTTCTGGACTTGTCCTCAGGCATCCTTCTCCGACTGCTTTTCTCACCTGCATCAGCCCATAACTCAGACCCTACTCAACAGGAGAGTCAGGCTGACCCAGGAGCACAGGCCCTTCTCCCTTGGAACTCGGAGGTGCAGCGAGAGACCAAGAAACCACGTGGCCCGAGGAAGGGCGTCTTGGAGATGGGAGAGAGCAGCCCTGCATTTAGATTCGGCTGCAGGAGTCCCTGCCCTGGGCCCCGCACATTCGTGTTTCAATCTTGCAAGGAAAGGCTTTGTCATTTGTTGAGTCTTGAAGGTTTATAGAGTTCTGCAGCAGAGGATGGTGGGGAGGGTGCCAGCATGATCCATCCCACCTTTGGCATGTCCGGTAACAAGCCTGGAGTTAGCCGTGCTCAGCTCTGCCCTGCATCCTGCATCCTGCATCCTGCCTCTGCCTGGCAGAGGCCACTTTTCAGCCATGCTGGTGGCCCCATCTCTAATGTCCTCCCTCTCTGCGAGTACCCATCCTGGCACTTCTCCGTTCACCTTCCTCAGAGATGCCACCGTGGCACACAGACCCCAGGCGACCCAAGACTGGGCAGCAGCCCCCAGACTCAGCAGTTCCGGCTCCCCTCGCTTCCCAACCCCACAACTTGCTCAGCGCTCTGCCCGCTGGGATGTCAGTTTGGTGTATCCCTTCCCTCGAGGGGTTTCTTTGACACCCTACTTTACCTTGTCACTCCCACTCTTCTCTGTCATCT